CACTTTACTCCCATAGTTTGTCCTTTGAGACTAGTGGTCACGTCAAGTTGGTTGAAATTGTCTTACTTTTGTGTTATTTTATTGTAATTCTGCAAACTAACAGTACAAAAACAAAGCTGAAGTGAGTAATGTTGTATTCAATGCTATGTTTGTGTTGTATTAATCGATATTGGATCCATTTAAACATCTTTCAGTTACTCATATAAATACTTAGCTTGTGAGTGTTTATTAGACATTGCAAGATTGTGCTCCTCAATAACAAAACTCAAACTTGAAAGTCCCCAATGGTACTTTTCATGCTAGGACTTTAACATATTATAAAAACAAGAATGCCATAGGTACCAAAACCATTATGAAAATAAAATAATCACACCTATATTGTAGTAATATTGAAAAACCATACAAATCGACGGCAATAATCTATAATTTAAATACGTAATAAACAAAAATATATCAATACTTCTTATCCAAATATATTATGGTAGCCTACCATGATACCATACCAAATATGCCGTCAATACATTTTTATTTTTGTGTATAAAATTAAAATATGCTGTATATAAAAATATGTTAAAATAGTTATATTTTAAGAAATTTTTTTTATATAGAACTTATTGCTTATTTGGCCTTAAATTGCTCTATTTGAAGCCTAAATTTAGAAAATTTTCCCGGGGGAGGACCCCCTAATCCCACTGGAGGACCCCCCCCTGAACTGAAATCCTAGGGCCCCATTGGAAAATTCGCCCGGGGCCCCTGAAGTCGTAAGTCCGGCCCTGCCTGTTTCCCTCCCTTCCCATAGCATTTTTAGAATTGCAGATACTGTACATTATTCTAATTATTACAAAGGGTTTCTACACTCCGGAATGCTCGCCTCGACTATTTCCTTCACCACTTCCTACGTCGTAGACCTGTTTCCCTCCCTTCCTATAGCATTTTAGAATTTCAAATAGATTAATTTAACTTTCAAAAAGGGTTCACACACTCCGGACTATTCACCTTGACTACATCCTTCACCACTTCCTACGTCGTGGACCTGTTTCCCTCCCTTCCTAGAGCATTTTAGAATTTCAAATAGATTAATTTAACTTTTACAAAGGGTTCCAAAACTCTGGACTGCTCACCTTGACTACATCCTTCACCGCTTCCTACGTCGTGGACCTGTTTCCCTCCCTTCCCATAGCATTTTAGAATTGCAGTTACACTAATCTAACTTTCACAAAGGGTTTCTACACTCCAGAATGCTCACCTCGACTACTTCCATTACCACTTCCTACGTCGTGGACCTGTTTCCCTCCCTTCCTATAGAATTTTAGTATTGCAGGTATATTAATCTAACTGTCACAAAGGGTTTCTACACTCCGGACTGTTCGGCTCGACTACTTCTATTACCACTTCCTACGTCGTGGACCTGTTTTCCTCCCTTCCTATAGCATTTTAGAATTGCAGTTACACTAATCTAACTGTCACAAAGGGTTTCTACACTTCAGAATGCTCGCCTCAACTACTCCCTTCACCATTCCTACGTCGTGGACCTGTTTCCCTCCCTTCCCATAGCATTTTTAGAATTGCAGATACTGTACATTATTCTAAATATTACAAAGGGTTTCTACACTCCGGAATGCTCGCCTCGACTATTTCCTTCACCACTTCCTACGTCGTAGACCTGTTTCCCTCCCTTCCTATAGCATTTTAGAATTTCAAATAGATTAATTTAACTTTCAAAAAGGGCTCACACACTCCGGACTATTCACCTTGACTACATCCTTCACCACTTCCTACGTCGTGGACCTGTTTCCCTCCCTTCCTAGAGCATTTTAGAATTTCAAATAGATTAATTTAACTTTTACAAAGGGTTTCAAAACTCTGGACTGCTCACCTTGACTACATCCTTCACCGCTTCCTACGTCGTGGACCTGTTTCCCTCCCTTCCCATAGCATTTTAGAATTGCAGTTACACTAATCTAACTTTCACAAAGGGTTTCTACACTCCAGAATGCTCACCTCGACTACTTCCATTACCACTTCCTATGTCGTGGACCTGTTTCCCTCCCTTCCTATAGAATTTTAGTATTGCAGGTATATTAATCTAACTGTCACAAAGGGTTTCTACACTCCGGACTGCTCGGCTCGACTACTTCCATTACCATTTCCTACGTCGTGGACCTGTTTTCCTCCCTTCCTATAGCATTTTAGAATTGCAGTTACACTAATCTAACTGTCACAAAGGGTTTCTACACTTCAGAATGCTCGCCTCGACTACTTCCATTACCGCTTCCTACGTCGTGGACCTGTTTGCCTCCCTTCCCATAGCATTTTAGAATTGCAGTTACACTAATCTAACTTTCTCAAAGGGTTTTTACACTCCAGAATGCTCACCTCGACTACTTCCATTACCACTTCCTACGTCGTGGACCTGTTTCCCTCCCTTCCTATAGCATTTTAGTATTGCAGGTATATTAATCTAACTGCCACAAAGGGTTTCTACACTCCGGACTGCTCGCCTTGACTACTTCCTTTACCGCTTCCTACGTCGTGGACCTTTTTCCCTCCCTTCTTATAGCATTTCATTATGGCAGATACATTAATCTAACTGCCACAAAGGGTTCCCACACTCCGGACTGCTCGCCTTGACTACTTCCATCACCGCTTCCTTCGTCGTGGACCTGTTTCCCTCCCTTCCCATAGCATTTTCGAATTGCAGTTACACTAATCTATCTGTCACAATGGGTTTCTACACTCCAGAATGCTCACCTCGACTACTTCCATTACCACTTCCTACGTCGTGGACCTGTTTCCCTCCCTTCCTATAGCATTTTAGTATTGCAGGTATATAATTCTAACTGTCACAAAGGGTTTCTACACTCCGGACTGCTCGCCTTGACTATTTCCATCACCGCTTCCTACGTCATGGACCTGTTTCTCTCCCTTCCCATAGCATTGTAGAATTGCAGTTACACTAATCTAACTGCCACAAAGGGTTTCTACACTCCGGACTGCTCGCCTTGAATATTTCCATCACCGCTTCCTACGTCGTGGACCTGTTTCCCTCCCTTCCTATAGCATTTTAGTATTGCAGGTATTTTAATCTAACTGTCACAAAGGGTTTCTACACTCAGGCCTGCTCGCCTTGACTACTTCCATCACCGCTTCCTACGTCATGGACCTGTTTCTCTCCCTTTCCATAGCATTTTAGAATTGCAGTTACACTAATCTAACTGCCACTAAGGGTTTCTACACACCAGAATACTCTCCTCGACTACTTTCATTACCACTTCCTACGTCGTGTACCTGTTTCCCTCCCTTCCTATAGCATTTTAGTTATTGCAGGTATATTAATCTAACTGTCACAAAGGGTTTCTACACTCCGGACTACTTCCATCACCGCTTCCTACGTTATGGACCTGTTTCTCCCCCTTCCCATAGCATTGTAGAATTGCAGTTACACTAATCTAACTGCCACAAAGGGTTTCTACACTCCAGAATGTTAGCTTCGACTACTTCCATTACCACTTCCTACGTCGTGGACCTGTTTCCCTCCCTTCCTATAGCATTTTAGTATTGCAGGTATATTAATCTAACTGTCACAAAGGGTTTCTACACTCCGGAATGCTCGCCTTGACTACTTCCATCACCGCTTCCTACGTCATGGACCTGTTTCTCTCCCTTCCCATAGCATTGTAGAATTGCAGTTACACTAATCTAACTGCCACTAAGGGTTTCTACACTCCAGAATGCTCGCTTCGACTACTTCCATTACCACTTCCTACGTCGTGGACCTGTTTCCCTCCCTTCCTATAGCATTTTATTATGGCAGATACATTAATCTAACTGCCACAAAGGGTTCCCACACTCCGGAATGCTCGCCTTGACTACTTCCTTCACCACTTTAAGTGTCGTGAACCAGTTTCCCTCCCTTCTTATAGCATTTTTAGAATTGCAGATACATTATTCTATTTGTCACAAAGGCTTCCCACACTCCGGTTTGCTCACTTTGACTACTTCCTTCACCACTTCCTACATCGTGGACCTGTTTCTCTCCCTTCCCATAGCATTTTTAGAATTGCAGATACATTATTCTAACTGTCATAAAGGCCCCCCACACTCCGCAGCGCTCGCCTTGACTACTTCCTTCACTATTTCCTTCACTACTTCCTACATCGTAGACCTGTTTCCCTATCTTTCCATAGCATTTAAGTATTACAGATACGTTAATTTAACAGTCTTAAAGGGTTTCCGTACTCCTTTCTTTTCACTGCTCACCTTTCCGCTTCCTTTACTACTCTCTACGTCGGGGACCTGCCCCCCCCCCTTCGCATAGCATTTTAGTATAAAAATATACCAACATTTTTGAATATTTAATATTCAAAGCCAACATTAAATTGAATAATGTAAAAAGCTGCTTTGTTCTAAGTACATACATACCTATATACTTTTAATTAAAAGGCGAAATTTTAATACTGAACATAAACGGTATATTGTTAAGTTAAATTTATTATTATGAAAGTTGTGAGATTTAATTAGCTTAAATAACATTATTCTGAAAGCTGTGAAATTATAATGATATATATTCATAGACGCCAAACTGTTTACTCCATGAATGAAAGAGCTTAGAGTAAAAGTCGTTATCTCTGTCTTAAGTAGACAACAAAATTGTTGGTCGCAAAACGTAAACAAATAAAAAGAAGAAGAAGGTAGCTCCTAATGTTATTCTTATGGGACAAATTTAAAAATGTTTGTTAAGTATTTTATAATTACTACTGAGCGGAATCGTCTAGAATTTTAATGGTGTCTTTACACTGGTGTCATAACTATTTGTGCAAAATTTGAACGCTATAAGTGCAACGGTTCTTGAGTTTTAGGTGCGAACACACACACACACACACATACTCCAGCGGACAACTTTTCTCCGACTCCGCTATACACGATACATAGATTCGTTCACTTCGTTCACTCATCTATTAATAAAGGTCAATACTGTAAGATACAATTATTTGCTACAGGACATCGCGGAAGTGCAATGCCAACCTGCATTGTATCCGCACTGTGTGGGAACACCAAGTTCCAGCCCCTGACAACGGAGAGATTTGTGATACCTGCAAGAAGATGGTGGCTGAGGCTAGAGACCAGCTCCGCTCCAACGAGACTCAGGTACCGATCACATGCTGTCCGCCCCACAAACTATGAGATTGTTGTTATCTTGAAATCTAATACTAACTTCACATGATAGTACTGGTCCTCAAATATAACTTTGACATGCTAATTTCACTGTTATATCATGATGTATTTGAACATTTATGGGTCTTGGAATTTATGATAAAGCACTAGTTTTTGACAACACTATTAAAAACTTGGAAAGAACCTAAAAAATAAAATGGTTTTTCAGGAGGACATAAAACTGGTACTGGAAGGGTCTTGTATGATCCTCATCCCCATCAAACCGATCGCCAAGGAGTGTGTAAGGTTGGTGGACCAGTCCATTCCAGAGTTGATAGAAGCTATCAGCTCCCAGATGAACCCTCAGATGGTATGTTCAGTAGCTGGACTCTGCAACAGTGTGGCAATGGAAAAGATGCTGGTCCAGTACAAGGTATTCAACAGTCAAGTAAATAAAAAATAATCTATCTATTACAAAAAATTAAAAATGTTATTGTTACTAATAGTATCTTTCATAACTAGAGTGACTCTTTTCGACCCTAGCTCAAGTTTTATGACAATAAGCGAGGGTCACTTTTTTGTTTGTAAAGAACTATAATTTTTGTCAAATTGCACCATTATTTGAACAAACTATATTAAAAATAAAGGTTTTCATTTTAAGATAACATCTAAAAAGGCTTCCAATTTAATTTGCAAATGGAAAGCAGCTGTTTAGTAAGTGGTTCAATTGTTTAGTCTGTTACAATTAATTGTGTTAGTGTACATTACACTACTGAAAAAAAATAAAATAAACTATGGCGAACTATTTACAATAAGGGAAAAATTAACTACAATTGATATATACTTTCGATTCATGCAATTTTGTTTTCAATAGAAATTTACAACTGAGTTGACAATAGCAGATTTTTTTCTCCCTAGGGGCTTAACATGCTTTTTACTCCCTAGAGAGTAGAAATACTACTTTAGACCCACAACGTATGCATAAAAATGGCTGTTTTTGCTGCAGTATGACGAAAAAATTCTTATACGTTTAAGTAATATATCCCTTTAAAAAATTAGTTTCTAGTTTACATTTTGTCCACTATATTAACTATATTACTATTATATATTGTAAATATATTATTAACTAGCAGTTACTCGGCGCGCGTTGCTGCACTCACAACTATTATTTTAAATGGTAATTTGTTCTTTGCGATAAATAATAAAAATGTATCAAAAACAAAAATGAAATGAAATATTTGTTTCACTTAAATTGTCAGTGGATAATCAATTTTTTGTTTGTTTTTTCATTAGGTTTATAAATATATATAAGTTTTCAGGCATACCTACCACCACATGATTAGAGTATACTACAATTTTGTCTCATTGACATTATGAAATAACTGAGTTAATAAATTATTATTTGCTAAATTTAAAATCGTCAGTTTTCCCTCACACAGTTTTTTGGCTAATTATTACCGCTTAAGAATTGGATATCGCAAGAATAGTAGTAGTGTATGAAGTTAAGAACACAGCATTGCTCGTAAATTTGAACCAGCTTGTTTTGCCACGACGGGAGCTTAATAGAGACCATAATTTACGAATGGCGATCGTAATTGGCTAGGTGTACGGCGTAATAAATAATAAAGTCTATTTAAACACATATTGCTTCAGTAAAACTTTGATTTTTTTCTGTGTATGATTGCTGTTTTAAGTGTGTCCTGACTTTGTTACAAAATAAATGGTTCAATCGTCTGCTGTGATTGAATCTCATAGTAGTTTAACAATGTGTTTAATATGTTTAACCTATGTTGTCCATTGAGCATCAACCCAGAGTTTAATCACTGTGCATATTATTCTAGTAGAAAAATATTCTTTTTTGTCAAGGAAATAAGATTATCTGAATCACCCAGTGATAGCAGTGGGTGATAGCATAGCTTCTCTAATACAAGGCTGCGGCATTGGTGTGTGGCAACATACTCAGTAAGTTAAGCCCCAGCCTAACTACCTATAGTTGTTGTGTGTCAACATCGCAATGGCATGCCTATTGCCTTGGTAATGACAAAAATGTAAACGCAAACATGGCGCATATGGACCATTATAAATTAATTGGTTGACACTTATGTCTCGCAGCGGCCTTGTATTAGAGGAGGCAACGGTAATAGTTATCAACGTTGAGGAAGCCGAGCCACTTATCTCAGTTGATAACAGACAATACTGAACTTGGTTTTTTAACACCCCTTCTAGAAATTACTTTTATGTATAATTCTAATTTTAGACTTTTTGATTTTACAAACAGTGTTGTTGTTAGTTATTTGTAGGGGTCTGCGGTACAGAAAATTTAAGGTCAGTACGGTACAATATTTTGTACCTTAGTTCTCGGTACAAAAATCGGTACGGTACGCGGCTACCCGTATTTTTGCGGTTTTCTTTTCAGATCTGTATTTGAACCATTATTTTTAATTTTAATACATTGAAATTACTATGAAAATGGATAGTATCCTACATTCATGGTTTTCTAACAACAATTACTGTACCACACATTATTAAAATCTTTACTCCTACGAGGATTGTGTAAAGAAAAATCACAATTAAGATAAAGGATTTACCTATTTTACTCTGAAATACTTTGAATAGCCATGATAAAAATTATTTCCAACCAACACAATGTCTAGTTGTTTTTTAAACTTGTAAAAACATATAAAAGCATTCAGTACAAAAACAGTGTAGTTGCCAGCTGTTCACATTCAATAGATGACAATGAAAAACAGGATGTTATGATGAAGTAATGGCAAAGAGCATCTTTTTTATCAGCTTGAAAACTAATTATAAGATGGATACATCTCTTGCAAAGTTTTTTTCTTAAACTAAAATTTGGATTACCAATGGCCAATTACCAATGGTGAGATTATTGTCTTTTCATTTACAAAGTTAACATCCACACATATCAATCATTATCTTCACTATCTCAGAATCAATCCAATTTTGTTAGTATATTTTAAAGCTCTTCCAAAGAGTCAAAAGACCCAGGCCTAGACCTAATTATTTAGGATGGCCTATATAAATTGAGTAAGGTATAGCCCAAGACCCATTGCAGGTAGATGACCATAAATTTGAAAAAGTAGAACATTTTAAGTACTTAGGGGTTATCTTATCCAGGGAAAACAAAGAAGAAATAGAAATTCAAAATAGACTAAATCTGGCAAACAGATGTTTCTACGCTTGCAACAGACTGATGTCCTCTAAGTTACTGTCAAAAAACACCAAAATTAGAATTATTTATAAGACAATAATAAGCCCAGTATTATTATACGGAGCTGAAACATGGAAACCAAATAAAAAAGAAGAAAAGAAGTTAATCACATTCGAAAATAAGCTTTTAAGAAAAATCTATGGACCAATTTATGAAGGTGGTGAATGAAGGAAGAGACACAACAGAGAACTGAGAGAACTCTACAGAGATCCAGATGTGGTGTGTGAATTAAGTGTAGAAGAGTTAGATGGGCTGGACATGTTTTACGAAGAGAGGAGCAAAATAAGTTAAAATTAGTTTTACTAAGAAATCCCGAAGGAAGACGACCGAGAGGAAGGCAAAAACAAAAATGGTGGAGCCAAGTAAAGAAAGACATGGAGCAACTAGGAGCAACTGAGGAGGATGCAGAGGATAGAGCAAGATGGAGAGGCTTTGTTGGTGCGGCCAAATATCTTCTTAGATTTACATGGCCCTGGGAGTAAGAGTAAGTATATAAATTGAGTAGGTTACAATGAGGGTAGCAAAATCACTATCATAATTCTAGTTCATAAGATTTAGATTGCATAAAGTACCGTCAACACAATAAAAAAATATAGGAAACAAAAAACATTTAAACCTTAACAGCCACATCCAACAATATAAGACACAGAACATGCCATGACATAATTTAAGACGGAGTAGGCTTGCATAACAGAAAAAAATTATGCAAACAACAACCACACGGTTGTGGTTTCATCAATAGAAAGATAAAATAGCAATAACAATATCTTAACTTATAAAATAAGATTGTAGATTAGTTACAACTTTAATATGAAGCCATAAACAGTTTTATGGCAGTAGGCCAGTAGGGCAATGGCCAGCGGCAAACTGAATATTCATGAAAATACTGACTGAGTTAGAGATAAAATTTACAGTCATCATAAAACTATTATTTTTATGATAAAATAGAATTGGAGAAAGTCGTATAGGAATAAAAGTGATAAAACTCAACAGTTCTTGTAAGTACTTGAATACAACAATTATTGTCGTTAATGGATTTGGGACTGCTAATGGGTTTTTTATTGCATCATCACCCTAGTAATAAACCATGAAGATCGTAAACAAACATCTGATAAGACTTTTATGTGCTCAGTACCAACTACAATTGACTATGATAAGTAATTTATTATTATAATAGGCTGTACCGAACCTTTCGGTGCATGCAGACCCCTAGTTATCTTACTAATATTATCTGAAAGTTTGTGAGTTTGTGTGTGTGTTGCTCAATCACGCATAAACTACTGTCCGCATTGGGCTGAAATTTGGCACGATGATAGCTCACATTCCCGATTAACATTAAGGCATATTCTTATCTGAAAAATCCTTTCGGGCTCCGCCCCAGTGGCTCTGTAGTTCCCCATGTTAACCTTATGAGTATTCATATTTAAAGGGAATTAAAGAATTTGAATTTAGTCAGCTGTTTCAACTTTACAGGTTGGTTCTATAATATGCAATAGCATTAAAAAGTTATAAGGTTTCCCAACAGGGTGCAGCACTATTATTATTTTGTGTTTTCATATAACAGCTAATTTGAACTAAATAGCAACAAAAAACTGTGATACACAATTAGAACTGTCAAAGTAGGATTGTTTACAGTTAGGTTTGAGTTTTTTAATTTAATGAATAATTTGTGATATTGTGCGAATATTTTATAATTTATTTTTTCTATTGTCTAGGTGCAGTGGTAGAACATTATGGCAATAGTAGTTGTGTTATACTATATCATACCGTAAATTTATGAACCAAATTTTATCAAACTGTGTCCTCCCCCCATTGAAAACGCAGAGCTTGAGTATAACTGCAATAAGCATTTTATACTTATATGCCAACCCCGTACGAAGGACGGGTGCTCTGCTAGTTTGACATAAATTAAGTGATGTTTAACACTTACAAGTACAACTTATGTTTCAAAGAATAAATCTAGGTCTTAATATAAATTTTAATTTTTAAATCACCCAAACAGACCCCCGAGACAATGTAGTCTTATTTCCATGATTTAAAAAAAGCTACAGAAGTTTTGTGCAGTGTTCAATATTTTTATAAACATATAACTTGTAACAAAAACATTTCAATGACAGTTAAAAGCCAGCTGTTGGTTAAACCAGTACTGAAACAGTTTTAAATTGAGTCAGCTGCTAGACTTTTTAAAAATAAAAACTTAATTTCTAAAAACTGAA